ATAACTTTCCATTTGATTTGGACAGATACCTAGGAGTGAGGTTGCTGGTCACATGGCAGGCATAAGTATGAGAAATGCCAGAATGTTTCCCAAGGTGGCTGTACCATTTTTCATTCCTACTAGCAAGGTATGAGAGTTCCAGTTGCTACACACTCTTACCTGTGCCAGTGTTGGCAGTTCTTTCTTCTTTTCTTTTCGCTTTCTATTTTATTTTAACCATTCTAATAGTGTTTAGTAGTATCTCATTGTTTTAAATTTGCATTTCCCTAATGGCTAATGATTTTGAGCATCTGTCTCTGTGCTTATTTGTCATCTTATATCTTCTTTGGTGAATTGTCTACTTAAATATTTTGCTCTTTTAAAAAGTGGGTTGTTGGTTTTCTTATTTTTGACTTGAGAGCTCTTTATGAATTTTGGGTACAAGTCTTTTTATTAGATATATGGTTTACAAATAATTGTTCCCATTCTGCTGCTTGTCTTTTCATTTTCTTAACAGTGTCTTTTGAAGGCAAATGTTCTTAATTTTGATGAAGTCTGATTTATCAATTTATCATTTCTTTTCTTTTATGGATCATGTTTTGCTGTGGTATATAAGAAATCTTTGCCTAACCCAAAGTCTTGTGTTTTCTTCTGGAAGTTTAATAGTTTTAGGTTTTACGTTCAGGCCTATGAACTGTTCTGAGTAAATTTTTGTATGTTTTGAGTTAATCATATGGGTATCCAATTTTTCTGGCACCGTTTGTTGAGAAGACTTTCCTTTCTCCATTTAGTTGCCTTTGTATATTTGTCAAAATAAAGGTGTGATAAATGATTTGCAGATATTTTCTCCCATTCTGTGGGTTGTCTTTTCACTTTCTTGATGATTCCTTTAGAAGCACAGGACTTCTTAAATTTGATGAAGGGCAGTTTATCTCTTTTTTTATCTTTTATCATTTGTGCTTTTGGTGTAATGTCTAAGAAATCATTGCCTAATCCTAGGTCATGAAAATTTATTCCTATATTTTCTTCTAAGAGTTTTATAACTGTAGCTCTCATGTTTAGGTCTCTGATCCACTTTGAGTTAATTTTGTATATGGTATCAGTTATGAGGTACAACTTCATTTTTTTGCATGTGGATATGAAGTTATCTCAGTATCATTTGCTAAAAAGACTATTCCTTTCCCATTGAATTGTCTTGGTACTCTTGTTAAAAATCAGCAAACCATAAATGTAAGGGTTTATTTCTGGACTCTCAATTCTACTCCATTGATCTATACTTCTATCCTTAGGCCAGTACTGCACTAGATTAATTACTGTACTTTTATAGTCAGTCTTAAAATTGAGTAGTATGAGTCTTCCAACTTGGTTCATCTTCTTTAAAATTGTTTTGGCTATGCTAGTTGTTTTGCTTTTCCATATAAATCTTAGAGTCAGCTTGTCAATTTCTTTTTAAAACCCTGGTTGGGTTTTGATTATGATTACATTGCATCTATACATCAATTTGGGGTGAATTGACATCTGAACAATACTGAGTTTTCCAATACATGCACATGGTATGTCTCTCCATTTATTTAGGTCTTTTAAAATTTCTTTCATTAGTGTTTTATAGTTTTCAGTGAACAGGTTTGCAATATTTTGTTAGATTTATGGATAAATATTTCATAGTTTTGGTGATATATAAATGGCACTTTAAAAAAATTTCGCTTCTGATTGTTGCTTGCCTGTAGAAATACAGTTGCTTTTTTGTATATTGACCTTGTTTCCTGTGATCATGTATCTTTGTATTCTAAACTTGCTTATTAATTCTGGTAGCTGTTTTGGAGATTCTTTGGGATTTTCTACACAGACAAACATGTCATCTGCAAATACAGACAGTTTTATTTCTTCCTTTCCAATCTGTATGCATTTTATTTTTTTCTCTTATCTTATTGCATGGCCTCGGACCTCCAATATGAAGTTGAATACATGTAATGAGAGAGGACAATCTCGCTTTGTTCCTGATCTTAGGGGAAAACATTCAGTCTTTCACCATTAAGTATGATGTTAGCTATAGGTTTTTGTATATGCCATTGATTGGCATATACCAAGATTGAGGAATTTCCCTTCTATTCCTAATTTGTTAGGAGTTAAAAAAAAAAAATCTTGTATAGGGACTTCCCTGGTGGTCCAGCAGTTAAGACTCCACGTTTCCAGTGCAGGGGACACTGGTTCGATCACTGGTGGGGGAACTAAGATCCCAATGCTGCACAGTGCGGCCAAAAAAATAAAAAAATAAAATTAAACTAAAAATCTTGCATAGATGTTAAGTTTTGTCAAATACTTCTTCAGTAACTATTGAAATAACCATATGGTTTTCTATTTAGTCAGTTAATGTGGTGAATTACATTGATTTTTGATGTTGAAACAGCCGTCCATTCGTGGCCATGTTGCATCATCATGCTGCATTATTCTGTCTGAGGGTAACTTTTCATATTCTCCTTTCCAGTTTCTCCTCACTCCTTTTTTTATCATCCGGCACCTTCCTCTCACCTTTCAAAAGATATCCCCTAAAGAGAACATTCTTCAGAATTCCCTGTAGTCTGCACCTTCACCTCCACCTCCTCATCTCCTTCTCTCTCCTTAGCCCTCTCTCAGTGGTCCTCAGCGACTTCCAGGAGGTGTGCCCTTGGGCTCTCCCTTCACAGTCATTGCATTGCTTCCTACTGCAGGCTGCAGTCTGTTTCTTCCCTGCCCTTGGGGGCTCTTCTTTCTGAGTCAGCTCTGCCTTGCCAGCCCCCAGCCTCATGTAGGTCTTTGTTCCCTCATGCTTTGGGCTTCAGTGGTAGCCTCCTGGCCCATCTCTCGACGCCCTGCATTCCTCTTGCCCCGATGAACCTTCCTGAAGCCGTGTGCTCATCCTGCCATTCTTTGCTTCAGCAGTGTTCGTGGCTCCTGTTGTAGGATTGTGGCAGCACTTGTCAGCCTAACATGCAGATGCCTCTTCATTCTGGCTCCAGTCTGCCTTTCCAGCTCCAGCTCCTCTCTGTGGACTTGCCCTCAGGATCAGAGAGCCTGGGTTGTTTACTCAAGGACCCTGAGTACCTCGCAAGCCTGAGCTTCCTGGATGCCCTCCCCAGGGACACCCTTTCTTACGTCTGCCAGCCTCGGCAAACATGCCCCTAACCGCAGGCCCAGGGAGCCCGGGCCTGCCCAGCGGTCTCTCCTCACTCTGTGCTCTCTTCCGCTCCCTCTTGCTTGGCATGAGTCAGCTTCTGCTTCCTGTTGCTGGTTCTCTGTCAGTCTTGACCGCTTATCTCCTCAACTGGACTGTAAGCTTCTGTAGAGCAGGGGTCTTCTTTGCTTGTGATAAATAGGTTGGGGTTTTTCTCTGCAGTACGTTTACATAAGATGACAGTGGTAGGATTCGGGGGTGGCTGAGGTTGGGGTGGGGGCGCTGGGACTGAGCAGCTGAGTTGGTGGAGCTGTGGAGCTGGTAATCTGAGTTTGCCCCTTCCCTGAAACGTCCTCAGGGAGGCATCTGGAGGGGGGCCAGGAGGTGCTTGAGGGGAGCCCACAGTGTCCTTCAGCCAGAAAATCAGAATTTTTTGTGTAGCCGAGGAGAGAGCAAGACTGAGACGGGAGAGGAGAAGTCTCTTTCTGTGCATGGACTGGGACAGACATGGTATAGGATGTCTCCAGGGAAAGACGGCAGCACATCTGGTATGGAGCCCACATGGCTCTGGGCCTGAGAGCCTGGGTGGAGGTCAGGGCCATCTCAGAGCTGGGCTGGGGAAAGCCTTCAGGTAGAATGCAGAGCAGAGCCAAGGACAGGACCTCTAGGTCCAGAGACACCCTGGAAGAAGAGTCGCTGCCAGGCAGCTGAAGTCCCAGAGGGAGGCCCTTTGGGATCCCAATAGACAAGTGGACTAGAGACCAGTGCAGGGCTCCTGGGGGCTGGAGGAGCCGCAGCGGGAGGCGCAGGGGTCGGCCTGGGCTCCCCTTCTGCAGTTGGGACTAAGAACTAAATGTTCGGAGGGAGTGATTGAGGTCTAGAAAGCTGAGCCTCTGTGTGGCTTCTGTCCGGTATGGCCTGAGGCAAGGGCAGGACCAGGATCTGTTTACCCAGATACCCCAGGAGCTGTACCTGCCAAGAGAAGTTCTGAGCAAACAGTACCTTTGCCAGGACCTGGAATGTGCTATGTCAACCCTGCTTTTGTGGGTTGAGTTGTGTTTTCCCTTAGCTTTTCAGTAAGTATTGCTTTCAAAAGAATTGCAGCCTTGTCTCTGACCCGAGGGACAGTGGTCTTTCTCCACACACATCTCTGTCTGCACCGAGGAGGGCATCCGTGAGGAGTGGGGGTAATGGTGGGTGCTTGCCAACAGGTGTGCTGGTGGGGTCGTCAGGAGGCCCTGGTGCTGGTGCAGAGAAAGAGATGAGACCTGTGTGGACACAGCCCTGCTGGTCAGGGACCTCATCCTTCCCTCAGTCCCCAGAGGACTTCACGCAGTGCTGGGTATCAGCAAGTATTTGCTTCTTGGAGCTGATTCCTGGGGAAGAGCCAGCTAAGGCCTCTCTGTGGAAGAGCAGCCCTTTGTCCTATGTGGACCCTGTCGCACTTTCAAACAATGAAACCCTGTCCCCCTCCAGGAGCCTTCCCTGCCGTGCCCTTGCCGCCCCCAACACACACAGCTCTGTCACAGCGTCCCCAAGACACCTAACCTTTTAGCCTTTGGTACCGTGGACGCGGCCAGTGCGAGTATTCAGTGACTCAGCATCCTTGGGGCCATATTCTGTCACAGGCCAGCCAAGCTTTAGCCTCTGAGGACATCAGAGAGCCTGACTGATGACACTTGGCTACTCCCAGCAGTTGGCTGCGGGTGGGTGCCCTTGGCATTTGTTTGCGGGCAGCTAGGTGTGTGTTTGCTACCGTGGGGCCGGGGGGGCTCCGAGCTCTGGGACTGGGAGGGTCATGGCTGAGGCTCCAGGGCCTGGTGCCTGCTCCAGGCCTGAGCTCCGTGTCCTCCTCTCTCCCTCTGCAGCTCGTCTCCAATGTCCTCATTTTCTCCTGCACCAACATCGTGGGCGTCTGCACCCACTACCCGGCTGAGGTCTCCCAGAGACAGGCCTTCCAGGAGACCCGGGAGTGCATCCAGGCTCGGCTGCACTCGCAGCGGGAGAACCAGCAGCAGGTGAGTGAGGCCCTCCTGCCCTGAGCACAGCTGGCAGGGGGCCTGCCTCGGCCCAGCTGCTGCCTGCCCACCAGCTGTGCTCAGGGCAGCTGTCCAGCCCCGCCTCCCTGGGGGGGTGCGCAGCCTATGGGGAACGTTTCCCCTGGAGGGAGCCCAGCGTTCCTGGCTCTGTGGGAATGCTCTAGGGGCGGCTCTGGAGCACCAGCTCTAGCCCTGCCCCTGCCTGTTGCGTCCTCAGTCTCCCTGGGGTTTGCAAGCAAACCAGGCAGCTCGGGCGGCAGGAAGCAGCCCTCCGCCTCTCCCCCGGGGCTGGTGAGTTGGGGTGGTGAGAGCATCAGCCTTCCCTCCTGGGATCAAGGTGCCCGCCAGGCGAGGGGGGAGGGGGGAGGAGAGGAGGCCAAGCTGCCAGCCCCTGTGGCACCCTCACTAGGCACTTCCTCTGTGATGATCTCTGGGGTTTGGTTAGTTCAGAGAAAGGAAGACGACTGTGTCTCACCCTAACCCTCACCCTCAGGAGACTCCTGGGCCGGGAGGCAGGCCATGCATGCAGCTCACAGACTCGGGGGCTTCTCCCCGTGAGCCCCGGGCAGAGGGACCTGCCCCTGTGTACTCCTCTGGCTGAGGCGGGGCAAGGACTGAGGACTTGTCAGGGTTCCCTACCTGGCATCCTGGGGGTGTCCTGTTTGGGGTTCAGGTCTGGCTGGCTCACCACTGTGCCTTCTCCTGTGTGTGAACCAGATAGAAGTTGGGATCTCTGAGACTGTGCATGGCTCCCAGACAGCAGGCCCGGAGGGAGACCCCGGGGGAGAGTGGGCAGGTCAGCAGGGTGCTGGGGCTCCCACTGGACTTGGACTCGTCCTGGCTCTCAGAGATAAGGTTACTCCAAAGCGGAGGGGCCTCCCTCTCTTCTTAGGTTCGTGTCTTGCCAAACCCTGCACGAACACTGGAGGAGGAGTCCTCTTCTGTGCTGCACACCGTGTCGGCCGACGACAGGTGTAAACACGGAGGTCTGCCTTCAATCGTGAGGACAGGGAACCGGAGGCCTGGACGGCAGTAGTCATCTGTGCCCTCCCGCCCAGCACGGCGTGTGCGCTGTGAACACCCCACGAGCACAGAGTTTGCCAAAGTGTGAGGGCCTCTCTGCCTCTGTCTGGATTCAGCCCACGGCTGGTGACATCCAGATGCCTAGCCGGGGGGAGAGCTCTGCTGAGCCTCTCCAGGCCCTCCCCCAGTCACCATCTGCCCCTGCTTCTCTTCCAGCCCCGCGCCCGGCCGCTGTGCCTGGCTAAGTCCCCAGCTCAGGCAGTCCAGTCTGAGGCCTGGCCTTCCCATGTGCTCTCTTAGCCCCATCTGGGCTCCAGGTCCAGCCTCTTGAATGAAACCTGTCCCCAGGGGTGTCCCTGAGTCTTCCCACTGTCTCTTCTTGACAAGCTTACCTCACCAGTCTGCACCCTGCTCACCCCCAAGCTCCTACCTGCCTCAAAAGCCCCCCTCTCATCCCTGTTCGAGACCCCAGCATCTCTCACGTGAGATCAGGATACCTTCCTTCCCCTCTGGATCAGGGAATGTTCCCCCTCACTCCTGGGTCCTGTCCCTTCTCCAGTAAAATTAGCATCTACAGGGCTTCCCTGGTGGCGCAGTGGTTGAGAGTCCGCCTGCGGATGCAGGGGACACGGGTTCGTGCCCCGGTCCGGGAAGATCCCACATGCCGCGGAGCGGCTGGGCCCGTGAGCCATGGCCGCTGAGCCCGTGCATCCGGAGCCTGTGCTCTGCAATGGGAGGGGCCACAACAGTGAGAGGCCCACATACCGCAAAAAAAAAAAAAAAAAAAAAAAAAAAATTAGCATTTACAGTGCCTCACAGTTTACTTGCACTGGCCCTGGCCAGGCTGGACATTCCAGAAATTCCACAGGGATCTGGGGGAGAAAATATGTTTGCCATACCATGTTTCAGGCCAAGGTACTGGGGAGGGGAGGCATGCTTCCAGGGGACAGGACTCCTCACCGAGCCGGGGCCCAGAGTCAGGCATCCCCTGCCCTCTGCAGGAAAGGATGCTCTTGGATCTGAGGATGCTCCCAGGTGCCACCTGACGAGGGGACTCAGCACTGTTCCCCAGCCAGCCCCTGCCCACTCGTCCTGGCCCTCAGCCCCAGAGCCAGTTATAAATGTAGGAAGGTCTCTCATGAATCTATACAATTTGTAGCACACTTTCTCCCAGTCATCCTGTATTTCCACAGAATTGTCCTTTAGCTTGTATTGATATTTTTATCACCAGCAGCTGTTCACTGAGAGTTCAGTAAATATGAAACGGCCTTTAATGGCCGTGTGCACTGATGTCTGGGGTGGCCAGACCAGCCCACAGAGAGCACCATTCCTCACTCGTCCACTAGAGTTTCCTAAGCATAGGCTGTCAGCTCTGGAGCTGAACAAGACGCAGTTCCCACCCTCAGGGAGACCCCAGTAACAGACCATTGACATTGAAATGCAGAGTGATCAGGGGGTCTGTAAGAAGGCCCAGGGTGGCAAGGGGATGCTGGAAGCTGGAGCCAGGACCCTCCTCCTGGGAGAGGGCTGAGCCCGAGGTAGGTTAGCAGCAGTACTTGAGGATGGTGATTCTAGTTGAGGAGCAAGGCCTTGACCTTCGTGATCAGGAGGACGGGGGTGCCATGGACAAAGGCAGGGAACTTGAGAAGAAGGACCATCGGGGGCATGGTGAGCATGGTGTGGGCATGATGTCATCTGCTGGTGGCAAGACATAAGGCGGGCAGCCGGCCGAGGCAGTGGGTGTGGGAGGTGAGCAGCGGAGGCGCTGATGGAAACCTTGCTCCCAGAGGCCAGGAGGAGGGAGGGGAGCAGCAGAAGAGTCTTAGGGCCACGTGAGAGAGTGGCCCAGCTTCCGGTGCTGAAGGAGTGGAGAGAATGAGGACAGCTGGAGACCGCCAGAGGAAAGGCTCCAGATGAGAGGATTCGTGAGCGAGCCTGGCAGAGCTCCTGGTGTGGGGAGGGGGCTACAGAGGGTGCAGGTAGAGGTTGGACCTCTTGGAGCAGGCAGGCCCCGGAGGAGAACACAGAAAGGGGGCCAAGTCCAGACCCCATCAAGGGCTGCCGTGACCCTACCCAACTTCACAGGGTGGCCCTGGCCCCTCTCCTGGCTTTTCTCCAACCTCCCCTTCAGCCGGTCTTAATTTCTTGGTTTCTCAAAGTCGGCAAGCTTTCCCATCCTCCTGGGCCACCACCCCTACGTCGAAATGGAGCCCCCTCCTTCATAGGTCATCCTCTGGTGCCCACGAAGCCTTCTGTGACCACCCTGCTTCTCCCCAGCCTGCGGCAGGTCACCCTGCTCAGTGCCCTGTAGTACCTGTAGCCCCACAAGACTGGGAATTTGTGAAGGAGGAACTTTGCCCGTCTTGTTCACGGTTATCACTCCTGGCACCCGGCATGACGCCAGGAACATGGGCGGTGCTCAGTGAATATTTGGTGACTGAACGAATCTCATCGAGAGCTCCCAACAACCCCATCCCTATTTATAGATAAGGAACTGGAGGCTCAGAGAAGTTCAGTCATTTGCCCAAAGTCTCAGGTGACACCCAGGATTCTGACCCCAGGTGCCTGGTACTACAGATTCACCAGGAGTACTTTTCCCCAGGTACGCGGAAGAACCAGGAGCTGTCCCAGGGAGATGGGGGCCAGGTAGCCCTGGGGCATGACTCCACACCCAGCACATACAAGCGTTAGCTCCATGAGTTTCCGGAGAGCCTGAAAAGTTTTCCAGGGCCCTGTGGGTGGGGGCTCAGGTGGGGAGGAGTGAAGCCTGGGGAGGGGAGGGGACTGCCAGGCAGGGGGAGGAGCTGTGATGAAAGCATCTGCTTCCCTCCCTAGGAGCGGCTCCTGCTGTCTGTCCTTCCCCGTCACGTTGCCATGGAGATGAAAGCAGACATCAATGCCAAACAGGAGGATATGATGTTCCATAAAATTTACATCCAGAAACATGACAACGTGAGGTAGGGGTGAGACTGGGGGGCAAAGGCAGGGTGGGAAGACTGAACCCCAAAAGAGGTGACATGTCCCTTCCCTCCCCTTCACGAGGGCACAGCCCAACGGGGTGGTCTGGTGGCTTTGGAACGTGTGTTGTCCGGGGCACCCCAGCCCTGCCCCTCTAGGTCTGTTAAGTGAATTAGTATCGGTGGGGAGGAGGTGAGGCTGCAGCAAGGAGGAGGAAGGAGAAAGCAACACCACCAGCTCTTGGGGAAACTCCTAGCCTAACAAGGGAGACAGAAAGTACAGACTTGGGACCCACATGTCACCATCATTGTCTCAATCTTCACCACCATCCAGCAGCCTCCATGCCTTCTAAGCCAGTGTGTGCCAGGCACTGTACCAGGCATTATCCACCTCGCTGCTAATCCTGTCAGGAGGCTGACAGCCCTGCAGGGTGGGGACCCTTATTAACATCCCTTGTTTAGAGATTGAGCTCAGAATGGCTAAGACCCCCGGCCAAGGTCACTCAGCCAGGAGTGGTAAAGCGGTGTGTGCCCAGGTCGGCCCACCTTGAAGCCCACGCTCCTTTTAGTGTGTGTTTGTGGCTTCCCTAGACGGAAGCTCTGACAGCAGGGGCGAGCAAACAGATGTAGATTAACAGAGTGCAAAATCTGCCTCTGTGTTCCACGGGGACATGAAGCGACGCAGTGGCCTTCATCCAGCATGGCTTCCTGGAGAGCCTGCTAATTCTCCCACATGCCCAGAAAAGGAGCTGCTGCGTTTGCCTTCGAGAGGGTTGCTTCCTCCCTGGGCGAGTTTTCCTAGGACCCATGAGTCCTCTAAGGTCGGTGTAAAGAGGACATTTTGGAGGTTTGGGCTGAATTTTCAAGTTTGGGTTAAAGAGAATAATACAAATTATTGTGCGTGGGTGCACGTGCCCGCACACACAAATACACACATTCGAGGTGAGGCTGATGGCAGCAGGAGTGGGGAGGGCATGTGTTGTCTTGCAGAGTGGACAGAGCTGCCCAGTCCCCAGGGTGCCCCGGAATCCGACACTGCCCATTCTGCCCGTGTGTCCTCCATCCAACTCCCAAGACAGATTTGAAGCCTTTGGGAGAAAATAGTACCTGGACAATATATTTGTCCTCAGTTTTCAGAGTATCCCAGCCCCATGACGCCCACCCACACTCCACTGTCAGGCAGGGAGAGTGTGGCCAGCAGCAGCCTCAGACTCTCAGGAAGAAAGCTGCCCTGGCCGAGTCTCCACGCCGAGGAGGTGTCCCGAGGGGCTGCGGGCTCACCTCAAGAGGGAGGTGGGGTCCAGGCCTCGGTAGGTGGTGCTGATGCGAGGTCTCCGTCCTCAGCTCGTCACATCTGCCTCTGTCCTCACATGGTGGAATAATCACTGGCAATAGTTAATGCTTGTATAGAGCTTTCTTTAACCCAAGCACTGTTCTAAGCGCTTTTGTATATTCGCTTAATCCCCACAACAAATATAAGAGGTTGGTACTATTGTTATCTCCTTTTAACAGGTGAATAAACAGGCACAGAGATTAACTTGTCCAAGATCCATAACTGGTTAAGTGAGGGAATCGCCCCGAAAGCTTTTTGGTATTGGAGTTTTTACCTGGTCTGACTACTTGACAGATTTATTTCATACGCCAGCAGAAGGGGTTTGTGGATGACTGTAGGAAGGAGGCTTGAGGAGCCCTCAGGGAAGAGGGGACTCAGAGGAGAGGAGGAGAGAGGTTTGGCTTCCCACCTGCGTGTGTGCGACTCAGGAGCCACGGGGCCTTTCCTGTCTGCTGGCTGCCCCTCAAATCTGGGGGGCCCCACCTTAGGACATGTAAAGAAACAGCCTTATTTATCTGAACAAGTCCCAGAGGTCCAAAGTTCAGGTGGGAAGGAGTGACCCGCCAAGTGGTCCCAACACATACAAACCCCTGAGCTCCGCCCTTTGTAATTTTCTCTCTTGGTCCCGTCTTCACCACGCCGCTGGCCCTGGCATGGCTCTGTTCCAGGCAGAGCATGGACAGAAGGTGCTTTCCTTGACTGCTCTTAGCACAGCAGAGCTTTCAGCAGATTTACTAAACTAAAAAGTGGAGCCCAAAGGAAATCCAGAAAATTCACCACTCAGGAACCGTCTGGCGTTCAAGGCACAGGTTCTCAGGCTGGCTTGGCTGGCACGGCTGCCACGTCTGGCTTCCTCTGCATCTCTGTCCAGTACCTTGCCCTCTCACCCCTCTGTCCTCCCAAATGGGGGGGCTTCGTCTCACTTCCCGTCCCTCTGGTGCTGGCTCTTGGACCCACAGCCCTCCAGCAAAAGGGTTTGGTCAGAGAGGCTGACTCAGGCCTCTTCCGCAGTGACTGCCCTACGGAGTGTCCCACGCTCTGGGTGACACCCCCTCCCCCCTCCACTCCCACAAAGGCTGTGACTTCGGGTCCATACAAGAATCACAAGAGTGGCTAGAGCATCGGCACGGCAAGAATCAGAATCAGACCCAGCCATGGGGGGTGGGGATTGTCTGTTCTAGAATGCGCTCAGGATCAATAAGAGCAATCAGGAAAGAGATGAAAGGACAGAAGAGCTAAGATGCCATCATTTTCACGGGGACAGACATAATTCTGGCTCTGAAATTGCCAGGACTAGGGGTGGCTGGTACACATCAGAGGCCAGCCGCAAGCAATCATATGCAAATATCCCGCTGGGGCCCCTTCCCTGTTTCATCAGCCTCCGCGTGCTGCTCTTGGTGGAAACACATTGCTTGCTCTGGTCTCTGGTTTTGGGCTGAACCTTTGGCTTGGGTTGGGGGTTGAGTAGTAGGTGGAGGGATGACATCACAGTGTAGAAATGCACTTTGGGGCTTGACTCAGGGTCCAGTGGTTAACCCTGGGGCCCTAGGCAAGGCGGCCCTTCATGTCATTCTGGCTCTGCTGTGTGGCCAGGGCAAGTTACAGGCATTGAGCCACTCTGAACCTGTTTCCTCATCTGCATAATAGGATAGGAAAAGTACCTACTTAACAGGGTTTGTTAAAGAGGAAATGAAGGGCTTCCCTGGTGGCGCAGTGGTTAAGAATCCGCCTGCCCATGCAGTGGACATACGTTCGAGCCCTGGTCCAGGAAGATCCCACATGCCACGCAGCAACTAAGCCCGTGCGCCACAACTACTGAGCCTGCGCTCTACAACCCGCGAGCCACAAGTACCGAAGCCTGTGCACCTAGAGCCTGTGCTTCTCAACAAAGAGTAGCCCCCACTTACCGCAACTAGAGAAAGCCCGTGCGCAGCAATGAAGACCCAACACAGCCAAAAATAAAATAAATCAATTTATTTAAAAAAAAAGAAAAACAGTAAATGAAATAATATGAGGAAAGCGCTTAGCACAATATCTGGCACAGAACAAGTGTTCACTAATTGGGAGCAGCTATTGTTACTGTTATTATTATGATTATTACCACACTCCTATCAGCAAAGAAAGGCCTGGGGATTCTCAGTGTGGAGTGGAAGGGTGATGAGTCACATTCGTCAATTCTCTGTGGAGTTGTAATATTTAGACAGGGTGATGACATGCTGTTCTCTAACCCCACTGAGAGCAAGGCCACAAGAAAAATAAATCAACTCTGAGGTGTGACAGTATGGGCCTGGATCTAAGGGAGAGAAGAGACTAATGGGTGGCCAGAGAGTTTGGCCTGGGCAGGGAAGGGGGACAGACAGGTGCCCATCACTTTCCGTGGCCTCATTCTCCCCAGGCCCCGAGGAGGATCATTGCACAGTATACAATTCTCAGGATTCCGGGGGGGCCTGTTGGATGCTCTGGTGCTGGGCCACCACTGGCTGTGGGTTGAGGCAGGCCAGAGGCCAAGGAACCCGCAAGACCCCCGTGGAGCCCCCCAGATGCCTCTCCTGTCTGATGTGTCGGGTGGAGATGTTTCAGCCCCCCTTGCTGGACAGCTCAGTTGGGGCTGGGGCCGTGGCTGGATTCAGACCTGTGACTTGAGAGCCCTCCTGCCTACCCTCCCCTCCCCCCAGACATCTGGCCCTGCTGCAGCCACAGCGCCAGGGTGAGAGGAGGGCTGTGCTGTCCCTACTCTTGGGACAAGGGCCTCCGGGACATGTCAGCGGAGGCTGTTCTGGGCTGGGGGCTCCTGGCGCTCTGCTCTGAGGGGAGGGAGATGGGGGTTGGAGGAAGGGACACCCAGAGGACGTACCACATGAGGGAGCAGAGTAAAGGTACTGATGCAGCCAGAACCCAGGTGCCACCGGGTTCCCCCTGCCAAGAGGTCACCATTGTGGAGGAAGATGAGTGTCTGTGTTGAGCAGGCTAGTTCACTCCCCGCTCTGCCACTTAGTAGCTGTGGGCACTTGGGCAGGTCACCTAGTCTAAGCCTCGGTTTCCTCATCTGTGACATGGGAATGGTGATGTCCTTCCATTCATCCATTCAGCAGAGGTTTCACCTCTACCTCCATCGCTGGGAATCACCAGCTGTGCTCTCAGACACTTAGCCAGAGGCAGGACCGTGCTGGCAATGGGAGGGGGGCCACTGTCTCTGTCATGGGGAAGCTCCTCTTCTGTTTGGGAGGACACACAAACAACAGGTTAATTAGTAAATTGGGGATGCATCACATGGGGAGTCGGGGTAGTGACCTGGCGACATGGACTTTGCATTCTGACAGAATACGGTGCTAGACAGCCCACCTCTCAGTCACTGAGGAGCAGAGCCTGTAGGAGGGGGGCCCTGGGGCTTCTTGCAGGGGTGCTGGAAGGGTAGGGCAGCTACAGTGTTCAGTGTGGGAAGCACCAGGCCCAGGAGGTGGCTGCACACTGTTTGTCCTGCGGAAGCCGAGCAGGCTTCTGGGCAGGCTACCAGGTGAGCGTCAAGGTCAGGTAACCCCAGAGGTTTCAGGAGGAAGGGAACACCCAGCCAGGCCTGAGAGGGTACTGAAGGGTCCCCTGCTTCCGCAAGGGTCCCTGCTGGATGAGAAAGACCTGTACGTGATTGGCCAGTACGCTGGAGCCCTTA